ACTTTTGCATGGTACCTTGTGTTGGACAAGCCACAGGTATGTCCAAGAAAAAAAAATCGGTTATTAACTACCCAAACATACCATCTGCGATGAGACCTGTGCCTCACAGTGACGAAAATCCTATTCCAAAACCCCCAGAATCCTACACTTGCGAATCAGAAAACGAATCAGATCATGGCGATCGAGTGATTCGTCAGGAAGAAGATATGCCATCAACGTCAAGAGATCCTGATTTTATACCGAGCACGTCATGCCACCAACCGCACAAAATAAGACATTCAGAATTAAATGATCTTGTAACAGATTTAGAACTTCCAAAATGTAAGGCAGAGTTACTTGGATCAAGACTGCAGCAGTGGAACTTGTTAGAACACGATGTTTCGGTATGTGTTTTTCGTATTACGCCACAAAGACTTAGAACCATTTTTCAATATGGAGAATAACTTGGTTTTCTGCAGTAACATTAACGGCTTACTGGCGGCTTTAAATATAAACTATAACCCAGAAGAATGGAGATTGTTTATAGACAGTTCAACATTGAGTTTAAAGGCAGTGTTATTGCATATTGGAAATATTTTACCATCTCTTCCTGTAGGGTATGCAGTTCACATGAAAGAATCATATGACAATATGAAGTACCTATTGACATGCATAAAATACGATGAGCACCGATGGCATATTTGTGGCGATTTGAAAGTTGTTGCACTTTTACTTGGGCTGCAGCTAGGCTACACAAAGTTTTGCTGTTTTTTGTGTGAATGGGACAGTCGGGCAAAGGCACTTCATCACACCAGACAAAACTGGCCTGTTCGTCAATTCCTAGAGCCAGGTCAAAAAAATGTACAGCATATGCCATTAGTAGATTCGAAAAAAATTTTATTACCACCACTGCATATCAAGTTGGGCCTAATGGAAAACTTTGTCAAGGCATTAGATGGAGATGGGTCAGCTTTTCAATACCTGCGTCAGAAATTTCCAAGACTAAGTGAGGCAAAGGTTAATGAAGGTATTTTTGTTGGGCCACAGATTCGAAATATTTTGAAAGATACACAGTTTGAAAACACTTTAACAGGTATTGAAAAAACTGCTTGGAATGATTTCCGTCTGGTGGTCACTAATTTCTTGGGAAATAGAAAAGCTGACAACTATAAAACCCTTGTCAAAAATATGCTGTCATCGTATCAAAAGATGGGTTGTAATATGTCTCTTAAGATACATTTCCTACACTCGCACCTGGACTTTTTTCCTGACAATTGCGGAGCCGTAAGTGATGAGCACGGCGAACGTTTTCATCAGGATATTTCAACAATGGAAAAAAGGTACCAGGGAAAGTGGAATCCTTCCATGCTTGCAGACTATTGTTGGACTCTTGGTAGAGATGCTCCAGAAACGATCCATAAAAGAACAGCAAAAAGACAGCGCATATAGTGATCCTTATAAGTATATGAATCTTGTTACTTTTTTTAATATATCCTTAAAAATAAAAAGTTTTTTTCTAAACCGCAACTAATTTTTTTATTACATTGTCATTTTTGGATTCAGCGCCCCAAAATTAACAAAGAAGTGCACTTTTCCCACAAGATACAATTAAAAAACTAAAATTTGTTGTCCAGTGATATTATACAAAAATTTTACCTCTAAAACCGGAAATACATATATTTGAAAATGAAAATCATTCTAGATCTGAGGCCGTGGAACTCCCACTGTCATCAAGATTTATGATTGACGGGGCAACGTGAGTATCGATGATACCGTCTAATTCCCACATTTTAGGTTCGACCTTTTCTTTTACATGCCGATACATTATCCCACTTATTCGGTGTTATTCTTTGTATAGCATCTTGAATCAATCGGATTGAGCTCACAATGGTAAGGAGGCAGTCGTAAAACAGTTTTATTTTGTTTTTTGGCCATTTCATCAATTATGTTCAGGTTATATTTATTTTTATGCGTCTTGACAATTTGTAACAATTCTGCCTTAACCGTTGTATCATCATAATCAATCTTTTTATTTTTAAGCCATCCTTGAATTTCTGATTTTTTTTTGTTGGCGTTGTTGGAATTTTCTCTAATTATCTCGTGTGGAATGAAGCATTATCTAATACAATAACCGAATTATCTTCAAGCTTCGGTAGAGTATTTGAGAACCAATTTTCGAACGAGGCCCCATCCATTTCTTCATGGTAGTCTCCCGTTTTTTTGGATTCAAATGTCCATAAAGCATCGGATACAAATTCATCTTCATTACCGATGTGTCCATCGCTTACCTTTTCCTAAAAATAATTCATTTTGGACACTTTAAAACCGCTCCTATAGAAAGCATTAAAAACCCACTAAAACGATTGCTTGATTTCATATCTCGATATAGTTTAATCATGTACAAAAACAAATATAAAATATAAGTTTAGTTGAAATTCCCCGTCTTACAAGTATTGAAAAATATGTAGGTGTCAGCTTTGCAAACCATATCCTGAACACTTGAGCCATTCCTTCCTTGCATTTCGTATTTATAAATGTTGATAATTATTTGTTTTTCGCTAACGCTAAAATGAAGTCTTTTAGCTCTTTTTTTAGGCGGTGTGCGGCTTATATCAACAACTTCATCAGCTGTATCCGTATCAGACATTTTGAGTTCTACGAAATTAAACTGACAAATCTAATATGCACACAGTAATACCAGTATAAATCTGATGCCAACTCTGTACTGTACCACCAGCCACCGGGCATGCACGGTCGTAGCGCCTCCCACTCCACCCTCTGGTTTGTCATTGGTTTTGTGTAAGAGCTCGACCTATTCTGCCCAATAACAGTTATGCTCCCTCTCTCTCTTGAAATGTATCAGTATACTGATCACGCAATAATCACGCGTTGCTCACTGTTTTGGTTTAGTCTCTTTCTTCGATACATACATAATAAGCATCTCTATTCAGACCCTGAGTAATTTTCAAAACTGGACGTGAAACGACGCGTTTGATATCCAGTCTCGCTTAATATGCAATTTACTATAAGTATAAGTATAATCAGTCAACTTATATAAAGAAAACACAATTTTGGCAAACATAATTATATCTAATTATGCTGGTTGCCATACTATTATAGCGAAATTATGCTATTAAGATATGAACTGTAAACTGTAATTATTATTATATAGATCTGTTACATAATCATCTATCATAGCAACTGCGGTAGGTCCTGAAGCCATATATACTAAGTGACATACCGTCTCGGAATTTTGTGTGTTGTAACGTTCAACTGTTCATAGATTATTTATGTTTGTTTTTTATATTTTAAATTTTATCTATACTAAGTGACATATAAATCCGAACACCCAGTTTAAATGGTTTTATTTTAATCAAAGTTGGTGAATGTATTTATATTACTGTAAATAACAAGTGAAAAAATTTTCAGCCTTATCAGTTGGACATTCCGATTTTTATACTGCTTTTTTTTAATTCACTAACGCTCTAAAAATGAATATTTCAGCCGCAGTAAAGAATCAACGTTGGCGGATTTTCATTCTTGACATCCTTTACGATCGGTTACGATGCCTAGAGTACGGAGACCTGTACGATTTCGTCAACTTAGTGAGTTTGATAGGGGCCGTATAGTGGGACTTCGGGAAGCTGGACTTTCTTTTCGGGCAATTGCAGTTAGAGTGCAAAGAAGTGTAGACACTGTGGTTAGGTGTTGTCAGGCATGGCTTCGAGAAGGCCGTACGCAAAGAGCAAGGGGCACTGGACGCCGCCGTAGAACAACAGACCGTGAAGATCGCCGCCTAAGATTATTGGCCCGTTTCTCGACTACCAGGTCCATCGCAAATGAATGGTTTGCAGAACACGGAAGACCTATTGGCATGCGAAGTGTTTACCTACGAATGAGAAATTTTGGCTTGTTTTCATACCGGCCACACTGGGTCCTCCCTTTAACTCGAGAATACCGACGTAATCGCCTTGAGTGGTGCAGACAACGGTCACTCTGGGATCAGGAATGGAACAGTATTGTCTTTAGTGACGAGTCTCGATTTTGTTTAGGTATGCACGATGGTCGTGCCAGGGTTAGAAGGCGACGTGGTGAAAGGAGGAATCCACAGTTTTTTGTTGAAAGACATGTTCATCACACTGTTGGAGTTATGGTTTGGGGTGCTATAGCTTATGGTTCCAGGTCACCTTTAATCTTCATCAGAGGTAACATGAACGCGCAGCGTTATATCCACGAAGTTCTAGAACCCCATCTTTTACCCTATCTTGACACCCTGGCAGATCCAACTTTCCAACAAGATAATGCCCGACCACATGTTGCAAGAGTCACAATAGACTTCTTTCAACATAATGATGTCACATTATTACCATGGCCACCAAGATCTCCCGACTTATCCCCAATTGAGCACGTGTGGGATATGATGGGTAGGAGATTGCTCAATTTGCAACGTCCTCCTCAGACTCTAGAAGCACTTCGAGAGGAGTTGGTGGTTGCCTGGAATGAGATACCACAGGAGGACATTGACCACCTGATCAGAAGCATGCCTAGGCGCGTTGGAGCATGCGTAGCACATCAGGGTGCACCCACGCATTATTAAAGGTCAAAGGGCTTTAAAGCAGTGCAATCATTTTGAAATTTTCATCATTTACTTATTATGCTTCATTAAGTACTTATACAAAATTTTATTAAAATAAAACCATTTAAACTGGGTGTTCGGATTTATGTCACTTAGTATAATTTACTGTTGTTTGATATTTTACTCCAAAAAAAACCTGAGACAATTCAAAGACGGAAAGACAGATAGCTGCTTTCTTGCTGAATCGTATGTTTAGATTTTTTACATAAAAAGGTTTTAGGGTATTATCATCAGTAGTTCCTACAATTGTATGACTCCTTTATCGCCTCCTTGATTTTCATAGTTTTTACTGATCCCTCTCAGCGCTCTATTTTTAGGTTATGTTACAAATATCTATTTGCATCAAATATCATGCTTTTGTTTTATATCATCTGTTATATCAGGCTGAAATTTTCTGCAACTCAAAAAGAAAACCTAGTCTCACAATAGGAGAGCGCTGACGTTGACACGGAAAGTAGAAATCTAGAAATACCCCCCACAGAGAAAATACTATGACAATCAAGGAGGCCATAAAGGCCTAGGGACGAATAACGATACGGCCCTTAGGTAACTCATTATGTTAAATCATCGAAAAAATAAACAGTGGTACAATTTTTACTCACGCTGAATGCAGCTGTCGTACCAAACAGCAAAGTTATCTTTGCACGCGCAAGTGTTATTCTTGCAATATGTGTCGATGGTTCCGCAGTCCTCGGACGTGAAGCATTCGCCATGAAGGGCAGAACCTGTAATACATAGTTATCTGAGCAATGTTTAATGTATTAATGACACTGCGATATAACCTATCAGCAATATGGGCAACAACTTTTTCTTCCATACTATTCATTTATGAATCCATTATTGATATCTATGAGAATCGAGCCTACAACTCATACTTACGCCACGTCACCATGCTAACAAATACTTACAGGAATTTTAAATCAAGAATACTCTATTCACATCTTTAAGTTCATATGAAGATGAAAATATGTTTAACATGTCAAATGGTAGTTACCTGTCGTATGGTAGATGAAAAACGTGGAAAAAACCAGAAACTGTTCCAGAAACATCGTGGCCCTTGCTTGACAAATCTTTATCTATTCTTGAAGTTCAGTCATTGTCTTCTAGTAGTTGTATTATCCAGCCTGCAAGAGAAAAAAATCATCGTGTAGGTTGACATAGATTCACATATAGGCGTATGTGAAAATAGACATTTTCGAGCGCCCCAATTCACAATAACTAATATACCTGGATAACACAAAAAATGAGCCATGTAATTTCCAATATTCTTACGCGCACAAAGAATTTCTACAACAACCGGTAGCCAGGTGTGTTACGCATCGGCTCGAAGGCTCGCGGATTCGAATCCCGGCCTCGAGGTGTATGAGTGTATACACTTAATTGAGAGTGAATATTTGAGAGTGCAATTTTTGGATCCATTTTAAGAAGAGAACTCCATGTGAACGTATGTCCGAAACATCTTTTCTTTTGACTTTCAGGTACAATAGCGTCTGGTGTGTGATATGAATGTTTGAATTATTTTTTAGTTGCTATTTACCTCATCGTAGCTATTATGAAAATATAGTTAATTGCGTTGTTTGGTAGTTTTTCAAATTTTTATGTCGATATTCCAAATTAATTAGTCATAATTGATTTTTTTGACTTTCTATTGAAGTAACTGTCCTATACTTGAACATTTTTTTCTATTTTTTCGTTCGATTTGCTAATAAAGCGAATTTTTTTTAATCTAATATTTATTTTCTGAATTTTTAGTCTCAAAACCACAGCGAAAAAGCTTATAATCAATAGTTCGATTTTTGATATATTCTTTTCTAGCTTTTCCAAATTTCGAAATCTCTAAATTTTTCTCAGAATTTTCAATATTTTTTCAAAATTTCCAAATTTTTCGTCAAAATTTTCATATCTTGGAATTATTTTCCAAATTTCTGCATTTTCTAATTATTTTCCAAATTTTCGAATCCAAATCTTTTTCAAATTTAAAAATTCAAATTTTTTAAGAAGTCTCAAATTTGAATGTACTTCCAAGATTATTGAACGCATATGCAAATTAGTCAGACTCCTTGAAATCGGTGAAAATCGCGTTGAAAGATTCCGTTAGATATATGTATACTAAGTGACATATAAATCCGAACACCCAGTTTAAATGGTTTTATTTTAATAAAAGTTGGTGAATAAATAAATAACAAGCGAAAAAATTTTCAGCCTTATCAGTTGGACATTCCGGTTTTTATACTGTTTTTTTTTAATTCATTAACGCTCTAAAAATGAATATTTCAGCCGCAGTAAAGAATCAACGTTGGCGGATTTTGGTTCTTGACATCCTTTACGATCGGTTACGATGCCTAGAGTACGGAGACCTGTACGATTTCGTCAACTTAGTGAGTTTGATAGGGGCTGTATAGTGGGACTTCGAGAAGCTGGACTTTCTTTTCGGGCAATTGCAGTTAGAGAGCAAAGAAGTGTAGACACTGTGGTTAGGTGTTGTCAGGCATGGCTTCGAGAAGGCCGTACGCAAAGAGCAAGGGGCACTGGACGCCGCCGTAGAACAACAGACCGTGAAGATCGCCGCCTAAGATTATTGGCCTTAAGGGACCGTTTCTCCACTACCAAGGTCCATTGCAAATGAATGGTTTGCAGAACACGGAAGACCTATTGTCATGCGAAGTGTTTACCGACGAATGAGAAGTTTTGGATTGTTTTCATACCGGCCACACTGGGTCCTCCCTTTAACTCGAGAACACCGACGTAATCGCCTTGAGTGGTGCAGACAACAGTCACTCTGGGATCAGGAATGGAACAGTATTGTTTTTTAGTGACGAGTCTCGATTTTGTTTAGGCATGCACGATGGTCGTGCCAGGGTTAGAAGGCGACGTGGTGAAAGGAGGAATCCACAGTTTTTTGTTGAAAGACATGTTCATCACACTGTTGGAGTTATGGTTTGGGGTGCTATAGCTTATGGTTCCAGGTCACCTTTAACCTTCATCAGAGGTAACATGAACGCGCAGCGTTATATCCACGAACTTCTAGAACCCCATCTTTTACCATATCTTGACACCCTGGCAGATCCAACTTTCCAACAAGATAATGCCCCACCACATGTTGCAAGAGTCACAATAGACTTCTTTCAACATAATGATGTCACATTGTTACCATGGCCACCAAGATCTCCCGACTTATCCCCAATTGAGCACGTGTGGGATATGATGGGTAGGAGATTGCTCAATTTGCAATGTCCTCCTCAGACTCTAGAAGCACTTCGAGAGGAGTTGGTGGTTGCCTGGAATGAGATACCACAGGAGGACATTGACCACCTGATCAGAAGCATGCATAGGCGCGTTGGCGAATGCGTAGCACATCAGGGTGCATCCACACATTATTAAAGGTCAAAGGTCTTTAAAGCAGTGCAATCATTTTGAAATTTTTATCATTTACTTATTATGCTTCATTAAGTACTTATACAAAATTTTATTAAAATAAAACCATTTAAACTGGGTGTTTGGATTTATATGTCACTTAGTATATGTACATACAGATTGATTGTTAAAAATAAAAGCTATTTCTCTGCTTGGTGATGTTGTCATCTGGTTATTGATCAGAGGTTTTTTTATTTTTTCAAGCAAAAATCGTGCTTTGGATTGCAAAAATCAAAGAATCAAATTTGCTTAGAAAACGCCACTGGTGTAAATTAAATAAATGTAGTTAATTAAAAAATGATGGGAGGGGCTATTTCCAATCAGAAAAACTGTATGTCCTTATCCGATTGGACTCGGTTTTTGAGTTATTTATGTATATATGTTGCATTTTCTATATGCATATGTTTTTGCAACGCCCTAAAGCGATCATATACTTACAAAAAACGGCGATGGAATCTTCAACGCTGCATAAGAAATTCTGTTAGGCCATTTTTTGATCCATCCTGAACGGTAGGCACCAATAATTGGATCGGTTCTTCAAAACAGTAGAAATATCACCGACACAAATCTGAATTACTACCAAAACCAATTATACAACGAAGAAAAAAACACGCCTTTCCACCAGCGCTTTTATAGGTGTTAAGCATCCGTTGTATGTTAGCGCCTACCTTCTTGTCGCTCCGGGCCGTTTTCAGCCTTCCAAGTGCGTGGTGTTAGCAATTATCTAGCCCAGTTTATCCCCTTCTATGGTCATCTTCTGCTAATTTGAAGCTCGTGAAGAGCATTTCGCACTTGCCCGCTAGAAACCGATACCCTTTTCAATGTCGACTGGGCAGTTTCGCTACATCAAGGCATATACCCGTCAAACCGAAGAGATATGCATCTAACTAGCACGGCTAACATAGTGTGTGTGTGTGGTAGAACATCGAAGCTAAGTCTATACAGGGTATCCCATAAAATAGTGTCAATATTTTTAAGGTAGATTTGTGTGAAATTTTTCGATAGCTTTCAGTAGACATTAAATTGAAACCAGTTTTATATAATACACTACCGTTCGAAAGTGTTCCTGGAAAGCAAGGAAACTGTTAAACATTATTAAAAAAAACATTACAATATCTGTATGAAACATCTATTTTCTTAATTCGTAGTAACATACAAGTATTTATAATCAAAATAATCATATTTTTGACTCATCAAAATGTCCTCCTTTAATTACAGCCTGACAAATGAAGGGGAAAACGCGAAACTAATTTTTCTAAAATGGTTATTTTTCGCCAGTCATCTTGTAATATTCTCCATAAGTATTCTAGAGATGTAGGACATTTCCGTACCTGTCTGTCCAGTTCATCCCACATCAACTCTATCGGATTCAAATCCGGAGATTGGGGTGGCCATTGCATGACTTTCAAAATAATTTCATCTTCTTTTGCTTACAAAAATTGTTTACAGATCCTGGATGAGTGTTTGGGGTCAACATCATGCTGAAAGACAAACCCCTGACCAATAAAACGAGTCCTAGAAGGCACAACATGATTTTGTAGTACGGCTTTGTAATCTTCTTTATTCAGTATTCCCTGTACTCTCACAGCATAAACAAGAATAATTTTTTTCCATTTTCGAGTTATGCAATTTTTATTTTTCTCCCACTGAAAATCCACGGGCTCAAGACGGTCCTGTACTGACTGGTTCCGACGCGATACGCTTGGAGCGCTCGCCGCGCTGTAAGCATTTGTGGAGCTGGCCTGTGATAGACCAGTCATAATAGTCATGAAGCTGTTGAAAGTCTATCTTATTTTCGAATAGTGTATTCAACCAGAGCCGTATGCTCCGCTGTTCGATTTTCGTCCGCCGGCGCGCATGACGTCACGCGGAGAGTGATTATCATTTGGGTTGATATGGATAACGTGCATATTTTCACCTACACGCCAAACGGCTGGACGGATTTTCACATATGAGGTGTCGTTGGATCCGTCTTAGCGGTGCGAGTGACGCTAGCTACATTGAAATTTTATAAAAAACAAAATGGTGGATTTTAATAAAAGATTTCAACCCTGTAATTCCTATTTCACAGGCTACAGCTTAAACGGCTTCTAGCTCCACAATAGAGCGTATCGTCTCTTCACTGTACAAACAAGATAACTGCATTTTTCAACATTACCTATATTTTAGTATGTTATGTGGAGCAGGATTAACATGTCATAATACTGTACTACATTTATCCTTATTCGACAGAACATCCTAAGTAAATGTAAGTGTGAAAATTTACATATATGACCTTATTCTATACTTAAACCCTAGAGGACTTGTATGGTGATGAAGACCATCTTTTGCCCTAATTACTCCGAAAAAGTTTTCTATCACATCTTGATTAAGACGTCTTGTTAACAGGTATTGGACGCTAAAGTGTGGTTTCAGATCCTCTAGAGCATTTTCTAGCAAACCCTAGCGCTTTTTACATTGACTGTCTCTTATCTTTTTGTGAGATGTAGCCATTTTTTGCTAAAGTTTGGGTCTTGAGGAAAACTGTGGAACTTCATGTCATTGCAATGATTCCGTTTAGATTGATTGTCGGATTTACATCCCGCACCAGCACACCGCATTGTTATCAATTTATCAACCACACAGGGTATATAAGGTATGTACAACCAATACAACAAGTCACAAAACCACCAAAAACACCAACAAATCACACTATATAGTATTAACGACGATACACATGAACTGCAGTAACGTTACGACAATCCTGCCGCTGGTAACCACGAGCCGATAACTCTCCGGGTGACGTCACGCCCACATGCGCAATATCCTATTTTTAGTGTGTGTATCGTGGTATTCAACGGATATCTCGAATTCTGTAAATCAAGCTATCAATAGGAGTTTCTGAGCTATACTTAATTTACTGTTGAGCGTTGATTTTTTCATCGGATTTGTGTTTTTTAATTGTCAGCGTTCAAAAATAAAGATAAATAAGTTATTTGGGAATCATCATAGAAGCAACTTCAATGCTGAAAACTACTGTTAATCACCGGTGAGAGTTAATTGAATTTGTCCTCTAATTCCGTTCGAAATTCTCACCGAGATGTCGTGTAACTTTTTTAAAATTGTTTTGCCTAGGTGTGTAAGTATTCATTACAGAAAAGTTCCACCATCAGAGATACAGCCATCTCTCTTTAATAAGAAGTGTAAGCACGTAAAAATATTGACTCATGATTACAACCATAATGACTGGACTATGAAGCTATCGTCGGAGCGCGATCCGGGGAACAGCTGATTATGACGTAAGCTCCGCGTTTTGAGAGTAAATTTTAGGTTAGGAACATAAACACGCTTGGTTACAATTTGAGCTTTATTCATGATTTTGGTAGCGTAAACGTGAACTAAAATGGAAAATACTGGTGAGAGTGACGATGACGTACCTCAGTTATCTGCGGAAACATTTTCAGCGTTGCAACAGTTTTACCAAGAGCAAGAAAATCGCGAAAAACAACAAGACGTTAGTAGTCTTACGGGTGGAGATGTGCCATTAGACGAAAACTGGGTAAGTAAAGAAAAGCAATATATAATAATAAGCTTATTGAATCCTCTATTTGCACTATTTTTTTATTTTCCTGTCTATGTTGTTTTGGTTTAATCACAGCCTACGTTAATTAGTTTCGATATAGACAGGGTCGTATTTAGTATTTAGTTGAAAGCTTTTACTCGAAATGTGTGACACTAATATTTTTTGCAGCAACTGAGCCAGTTTTGGTATGATGATGCGACAATAGATTTTTTAGTCAACATAGCGTTGAAATCGGTTGGATCAGATGGAAAGATAGCTTTGGTATCATGTCCTACCTTATACAAGAAGATGAGACAGAAAGCCGACAAAAACTGTGAAAGTATGATTTTTTTCAGCAATTAAAAACTGACTAATCAGTTAATTACATTAACGTTTTTTGGGCTCTGAATTTATGAGTTTTGGTATGAAATATTTTTAATGAATTTCTTTCAGTAACATTGCTTGAATATGATAACAGATTTGCCGTTTATGGAGAAGATTTTATGTTTTATGACTACAACTCCCCCTTATCGATTCCAAGAGAAAAATCTGGATATTATGATCTAGTTATAGCCGATCCACCTTTTCTATCGGAAGAATGTTTAACAAAGACAGCTGTATCGATTAGATTTCTTACGAAAGAAAAGATAATTCTGTGCACAGGTCAGTTGAAATACGTTTTTTGTTTCAAACATACATGCATTTTAGGCGCTAAGGTAATCGTCTTTATTTAATCGAAAAAATTAAAACACTCGACAAACCTCAGCATCTCAATTGAAAGAATTTTCGGAAATAAAAATAGTGTGCAACATTTTGAATATTATGAAATGTTTGATATTTGGATGTAATTTCCAGGTGCCATCATGACTGACTTAGCAAAGAGACTACTAGATTTGAATAAGACAGTGTTTGAACCCAAACATAGGAACAACCTTGCAAATGAATTTTTGTGCTTTTCTAACTTTGCGTTTAACGATTTTCTGTGAAGACGTCAATTACTGCTTCTAAATATTTTTATAATTACTCTCTAATTTTATAATTATTATAGATGAAATAAAAAATTACACTCCTGTTGTTTTTATTTTCTCTTATATGTTGATATAGTTAAATGATTTATTCATGAATTTGTAATCTAAGCGTAATTAAACTGATATATTGAAATGGATAGAAAACAATTTATTCATTGATAAAGGGTAATGATATTCGCATTTTATAGAGTTTCTTTGATTGCGTGGAGTGGACCTTTTTCTACCGATAGTATTCAAGACCATACCAATTTAGATCATATATACTAAGTGACATATAAATCCGAACACCCAGTTTAAATGGTTTTATTTTAATAAAAGATGGTGAATGTATTTATCTTACTGTAAATAACAAGTGAAAAAATTTTCAGCCTTATCAGTTGGACATTCCGGTTTTTATACTGCTTTTTTTTAATTCACTAACGCTCTAAAAATGAATACTTCAGACGCAGTAAAGAATCAACGTTGGCGGATTTTGGTTCTTGACATCCTTTACGATCGGTTACGATGCCTAGAGTACGGAGACCTGTACGATTTCGTCAACTTAGTGAGTTTGATAGGGGCCGTATAGTGGGACTTCGGGAAGCTGGACTTTCTTTTCGGGCAATTGCAGTTAGAGTGCAAAGAAGTGTAGACACTGTGGTTAGATGTTGTCAGGTATGGCTTCGAGAAGGCCGTACGCAAAGAGCAAGGGGCACTGGACGCCGCCGTAGAACAACAGACCGTGAAGATCGCCGCCTAAGATTATTGGCCTTAAGTGACCGTTTCTCCACTACCAGGTCCATTGCAAATGAATGGTTTGCAGAACACGGAAGACCTATTGGCATGCGAAGTGTTTACCGACGAATGAGAAGTTTTGGCTTGTTTTCATACCGGCCACACTGGGTCCTCCCTTTAACTCGAGAACACCGACGTAATCGCCTTGAGTGGTGCATACAACGGTCACTCTGGGATCAGGAATGGAACAGTATTGTCTTTAGTGACGAGTCTCGATTTTGTTTAGGCATGCACGATGGTCGTGCCAGGGTTAGAAGGCGACGTGGTGAAAGGAGGAATCCACAGTTTTTTGTTGAAAGTCATGTTCATCACACTGTTGGAGTTATGGTTTGAGGTGCTATAGCTTATGGTTCCAGGTCACCTTTAATCTTCATCAGAGGTAACATGAACGCGTAGCGTTATATCCACGAAGTTCTAGAACCCCATCTTTTACCCTATCTTGACACCCTGGCAGATCCAAATTTCCAACAAGATAATGCCCGACCACATGTTGCAAGAGTCACAATAGACTTCTTTCAACATAATGATGTCACATTGTTACCATGGCCACCAAGATCTCCCGACTTATCCCCAATTGAGCACGTGTGGGATATGATGGGTAGGAGATTGCTCAATTTGCAACGTCCTCCTCAGACTCTAGAAGCACTTCGAGAGGAGTTGGTGGTTGCCTGGAATGAGATACCATAGGAGGACATTGACCACCTGATCAGAAGCATGCCTAGGCGGGTTGGAGAATGCGTAGCACATCAGGGTGCATCCACACATCATTAAAGGTCAAAGGGCTTTAAAGCAGTGCAATCATTTTGAAATTTTTATCACTTACTTATTATGCTTCATTAAGTACTTATACAAAATTTTATTAAATTAAAACCATTTAAACTGGGTGTTCGGTTTTATATGTCACTTAGTATACGTATGCGACTATAATCATTTGAAAGTTGCGTTGTTGAATATTCAATACCGCAATATCAAAACTACTTCATTTAAAAGTGTTGGGTGTTGCTGGTAGTATAGCATGAGCACATTTCTGATAATGATTGAATACCATCTACAAGGGTTGTTTCAAAAATAAGGTTACCACATTCCTGCAAATTTATGACCAATTATAAGCAAAGCAGAGAATGACGGATAGATCGAATAACTTTATTGAATTTTAACTTTCCACAAGTTTCACTGATATTTTTTTAAATGAAAAGAAATGAATACAAAATGAAACTTTCGGTAATTTAAATAATCAAAACTTTAACATAAAGCTTTTTTCCATCAATGTATTTACAGCTAATAACTTGAATGAACCAAATTATCGAACATTATCGACAGTAAAGTCTACATAATCATCCTGACCCCCTCTGGATGGACAGAAAACAATTAAACAGTTAACATCGTGCCATAAAATCCTTTTTTATAGACATCTCCCATTGAACCGACGATTTTTCCTTCACTGTAGCGCCAGTTTTGATAACCTACTTCAATATCGCTCTAATACGAACCTTAAAAAGTTTGATCTATCCTCCATTAATGGTCGATTAGTCTGTGTCGTTTCAGTTTGGTCTGTGCACGTTATCTCGAGCTGTATGATTCTTTGACCTGAAACAAAAAAAAACAATACGTTTATAGTGCGAGATCCCATGCATGCATCAAGTTTTCTAAGCGTTTACGTTTCCATCACAACAAATTTCTTCTTTTACATTGAAATCATGAGTTCTTCAATAATCGACAATCGCACTAAGAAAAAATTCTATTGAGCTAACTAAAATTTTATTTAGAACAATTAAACAAATCGTTTATTTAAATTTATTAAACTACTTACTTAGATTGAGTAAACCAGTTTAATTGAAATTTGTGAAGTAATCAAATGAGTAACTATTATTCTTCGCAAATCAATCAAACCTAATCAAAATCTAATCCGGTCCAGCACCTCGATCAGATTGCAGGCCGCGTAAACACACATCGATTCTAAAAAAAAACACTCAAAGCAATATCGTATATTATTTTAATTTAAGGTGAGTACCTTCGAAATGCTACCGAGGCTTCGCGAGTGCAAGCAGATCGTTTTTAAGGATTCTTCGTGATTTCGTATTTTGTTTGGTGTTTAATGATTTAGCAATTTGCTGCATTTATTCGGGAAAGGCAGTCGTTTCCCAACTTTCAGGAAGCCCTGAATAATGGAGATCCAGGGGTGCTTGCGATCCCGGACTATAAGTATTGTTATACGTATTTAGATTATCCATGTGCTAATGTTTATGAAGTTCAATTTTTTGAGAGAACTATGATAGCAATTAATTATCGGTTTCTTGACATTTCACCATACGATGTGCTGTAATTTAGCGCCTGATAAAGAAAATATGTACAAACAGTGCTCGTTAGATGTAAACATTTATATAATTATAGTTGCTTCTTGTCCAAGAAAAGCAACATTTAGGTGAGGATCATTCGAAATAGGCATCAAAACCATGCGAAATATTATATTTTGCTAAAAACGTCTTTCTGAAGCGTACTCTCGGCTTAAATTCAGAATATTTTTCATATTGAAATAAAGGATCATAAACCCTTTTCACGACACATGTAAACGTATTTTAAGAGAATATTTATAAGAGTTCGTGCGCGTCTGCAATTCCGATCAGAACCTGTTTTAGGTCACAAATACGTTCGCCTATATGAGAATACCAAAAACACTATTTTCTATATATACAGGGTGGCGCATCGAAAACGAAACAGACGCATTTACTGGCCGCTCAGTTTTTTTTTGAAAAACGCACAGACCCGTCGATTTTGTCTTCGAGGGGGACACAAGTTTGGCAAAAAATCACGTTAGCACGTGCAGCCCCCTAAGCGGGGCTGACACCGCCCCCAAAATCTTAAATGGAAAGGGGGGTCGAGTGATAACTTATTTTAAAGGTCTGTCAATTCCCTTTATGATGATATAAAATTAATGTACTTCAGTTCAGTATTTTTGAAGATTTATTGATTTAAAACTTAAAGTAGACTTTAACAGTTACATCAGATTAGTTTGTACTACTTGCAGAAGAAATTTGACTAAAAGAATTTACTTAATAAGTAAATGCTTTTCTTCACTACGCCCAAAACAAAATCGACTGAGCTGCCAGTAAATGCGTCTGTTTCGTTTTCGCGCCACCCTGTATATACTTCGAAGTTGAGTCATTTATTTTAACAGTGAGTAGATCTGATCAAAAGAAATGTTTTTTTCCTTTACCATTTTTCTGGTAAAATTAAAGTAACAAAGTTATAGCCCTTTGGAAGTTTGAGTACCAAGTCTCAATAATAATATTATGTGCTCGTGTTTGGCGACAACGGATATAATTCGCCTTATCGGTTCATCGCATCGGAAACAAAAAAGCGAAAGAATTTGGAACGATGTTTTTACAATTATTTCATTCAGTTGTATACAGTCAGTGTCAGTCGGTAGTGGATAGTGGTGTCTGTTGCGTGGCTCAAACGAAATAAAAAATGGCACACATTTATGCGGATCGGTTTCCCAATCGAGTGCAACCAACCCCTCGTGCCTTTGTTAATGTAGTACAAAGGGCTCGTGAATCAGGTGACTTAAGACCTCACAGGGGACTGCATGCCGGTGCTCCAAGACCTCACGACCAAATACAGGTCCGCACTGAAATACTTGTCGGGAGGATACTTTATAAAACAAGGTAACATTTTATTTTAATTTTTTTTTATTTTTACACACATATTTTGGTTTATCTTCCTTCTACAATCATTATCTGAAAATTAATGACTCAACTTCAAAGTCACCCTCTTACTCAAATATGTTTCCTTTGAGAGTTAGTTCTGATCTTTTCTACCTGTTTCCCTTCAATATGACCCAAGTAAGGTAACTAGAATATTATTAATTGATAGTAATCTTAAATTCAAAACTTGTTATGTTGACGGTTCACCATGTGTAATAATTCATATCCCTCATTCACAGTGCTGCTTCACTTTTGTCCTACACATTAAATGATATTTTTAGATGACTATCGGAACCAGTTGACGATGCAGAGTTTCTGTAAGGGCCTACTTTCTTTCAAGGACTGGAAAACAGATTCGTATCAGACCGTACTTCGTTCAATGTTATATTACTTGATAGAATCATTTAAGCATTCAAGCGTTTGTTGAGACTCATGATAATTGTATTATTGTAGCAACTAACCAACGATAGATGTACGATAGTGGCAGGTCCATTATTTTCATTGGGTATGTACATATGGATGAAGTATAGTATATACCTCCAGGACCAAGGTGAAATTAATTTATCATATTTATCATTAGGCAGTGACCTAGTTGGTTAGATTTGGATTTGGAGAGTGCACTTCTTTGCCTTGTATCTTTGCCTACAACGTCTTATTTCATTTTTTTCTGGTTTTGAGGTAAAACAGTTCGAAACTTAGAATTGCCCGGGGTGCTATCGGAGCACTTTTTGAAATTTTGTTTTCGCACTAGATTTATGGTGGGTTGAAAGGCTTACTTTTTTTTGTTGTTGTTTTTTAAAAAGAGCCTAGTAGAAAAAATGAAATAGTGACTCGATAGCACTCTGCAGCGTTTTGTTTTGAGCACACTGTAAAAATTTCGTTCGAAAATATTGAAAAATGAAGCGTCAGTTCCGAAACGCAAACCTCTACAAATCGGATTTTGCACGAACACACAGGATTTGTGACATGACAATTTTTGGGTGTACAGGTATCCTATGTATTTTAAGACCCTTGAATCAAATCTAAAAACAGAATTTTTCTATCACCCACAGATATTCGGTAGCATGTACTTTTATGAATTACAATACGTAACATCTCATATTGCTGCGTTTCTTGGCGTTTATTCGATGACGCACATATACAGGGTGTTTCAGTTTATTGTTGCATAACTTTAAGATTCGATAGAACTTTTAAAATTAATGCATAAAGTCTATATAAGCATGGGTCGAAAAATGCGTGGCTTCCGAAATACAGGGTGTTTAAATTTACTTTTTAAAATAGTTTTTTTTTAAATATTTCGAACAATATTTGATGTATAATAGTGAAAATTGGTATACAAGGGTTTTTTGGTACGACAAAACGAACCATCGGTATAGCTTTACTGTAGCCGCTAGAGGGCCCTCTCTACTGTACCTGTAGTGTATTAAAATGACCGAAAAATTTTTCTTAGTGCAATTTTTTGCTTTTTGAATAAAAAAACTGATTCTTCGCACTTTTCTGCATAAAAAGGCTCTCCTGTGAGTTTTTGTTATAGTTAGCCGTTTTTGAGATATTTCGATTTTTAAGTTTCGATGCATTTTTAATTATTTATGGTAAAAAAATATTTTTTTTACATTTTCGATTTGGGCATTACAAGTAATTAAGATGATCGTTTAGATTGTGTTTTTAAACACAGCAATAATTCCTAACTCCAAATAAACACAAAAAACAGAATATTAATTTGTTTAATTTTCCAATATTATTTTTAACAAATTAAATTAATTATTTACAACGAAAATGCTATTGGATAGTTAAGACAAACATACAAAATCTAAAGTAGTTGCTCGAAATGTAAACCCAATACACAATTCACATCTACGAATGATCGAACGTGGTATAGCATTATTCAAATAAGGCCTTATTTCATCACATGCATTCCTGATTCTGTCTATTAGCATATCTCTTGTGGTTACGGGAGTCTGGTACACTTTTTCTTTTAGAAATCCCCACACAAAGAAATCTAATGGATTTAGGTCAGGGGATCGTGGAGGCGACTGGTCCTCCACGGCCGATCCATCTTTCTGGATAATTTTCGTTCAGCCAGTTTCTAACTATTCTCGAATGAGCTGGATAACCATCAAGCTGGAACCAGGCCAATCTTCTTAAATCTAACATAACATCATCCCACATATTTGCATGTTCAGCCTTTAAAAATTCCAAGAAGGTCGCAGCATTTAACCTTGCAGGCAAAAGGTAGGGTCCAAATAGTCGATTACGGTAGATACCAATCCACACGTTCACACTAAATTCATGCTGAAAATTTCTTTCCCGAACTGCATGCGGATTTTCATGCGACCAAATATGTTGATTATGAAAATTTACCACTCCACGTCTAGTGAAGCATGACTCATCGGTCCATAAAACGTTACTTAAAAACTCCCTATTATTATCAGTTCTATCAAGAATCCACTGACAAAATGTGATTCTTCGTTCTCCGTCCCCTGGCTGTTTCAACAGACAACAAAACTAACTGTCAACTAATTGACGTTTAACCTTATTCTGCTTTCAATTTCAAAAATATTTGCAGGCACAGCCTACTTCTAAAAATTATCGAGGTACTTTTTAACGTTATTTTATCATAAATAATTAAAAATGCATCGAACCTTAAAAATCGAAATATCTCAAAAACGGCTAACTATAACGAAAATTCACAAGAGAGCTTTTTTATGTTGAAAAGTGCGAAGAATCAGTTTGTTTATTCAAAAAGCAAAAAATTGCACTAAGTAAAAATTTTCGGTCATTTTAATACACTACAGGTACAGTAGAGAGCGCCCTCTAGCGGCTACAGTAAAACTATGCCCATGGTTCGTTTTGTCGTACCAAAAAACCCTTGTATACCAATTTTCACTGATATATATCAAATATTGTTCGAAATATTTAAAAAAAAACTATTTTAAAAAGTAAATTTAAACACCCTGTATTTCGGAAGCCACGCATTTTTCGACCCATGTTTATATAGACTTTATGCATTAATTTTAAAAGTTCTGTCGAATCTGAAAGTTATGCAACAATAAACTGAAACACCTGTATAATGTTAAGACCTGTCTATTCCCCTTTAATATATGCGAGCTGTATGTTTAGAGAGCATATTGCGTTTATTAGTAGACTAGTTGCAGCCGAGTCAGTTACGTTTTCTGTGTTGAAGAGTACTGAGATGTTTTAGCTACTGTTAATTTCTGTTAAAACGGTGGGTTGTTTTTAGTTTATTGCGATCGAGACTAGCTTTATGGACAATGCCTAGAAATTGTGTAAACAGTGCGAACAGTTTTTGTTATGTGTGCGGAGAGCTAACTTTTAAATCCCAAAAACGTACCTTTACTCCCCTTGTGTTGAAAGCATACGAACTTTATTTTGAAATTACGAGTATTAGCAGCAAATAAAATGCCCTATTGCAAGAAAACCGTGGGCGATAGAAAAAATCGAATGCTATTTCCGGCTTTTTGGGTACGTTTTACATAATAACTACCTGGTTTTGTCCATGTCACAAAAAATTCTTTTACTTTTGTTCACCAGTATAATTTGGTGGCCGTATTTCATATAATATCGTGCATATGAGTTATTCTGCAAATAGTTGCTTATAATCGCGATCGCTGTTGTGAAGCAAATGCTCGCAACTTGTTACGTACATGTTACTTCTAAACTTATGTCCCGGTTGTCTGATCTGATTTCCTGACGTTTAGGCTGCTTCGACAAATTCATAAATTTTTACACCTCCATCTTAAAGCATCCCACAAACCGGCGCGAAATATTCGCTTTGGCTGCGAAAATTTCGCGGCGATGAATTCGCGATCAGATTAAAACGCGGCGGTTTACGGACATGCTCAGACTTGTGCGAAGCGAATGCGATTGTTCCAGCGTTTTTATCGCGGCGTATTTCAGTTCGCCTTTGACCGCCCGCGTTTTTGACGCCGTTCTTCAAAAATTCGCAATGGCAAAAACGGAATTATTGATAGAAATAGTGAAAAAGTATCCTTGTTTGTATGATTTGTCGAACGATGAATATAGGAATGTGAGAAAGAAAGACAAGATTTGGATGGAAATAGGAAAAGAATTAAATACAAATGGTATGTACGTAATATTTTTTATTAACTTGTTAAATAATTTACAGTCTACACAAATGTGAAAACGAACATTCTATATATTGGGCATAGGCATATCAGAATTAAAATAATTTACGAATTTGTCACGAGTAGAAAATGCTAGCCTTGCTGCCCGCCGAGGATCGTTTGCTATATCAGTAAAAGCTCCAAGCACGGGTTCTGGGGGATCTAAGAATTGAAAATATTTGTCATCGTAAAAAATTGTGTAAAACACATGCCGTACGTACAATTAGAATAGTAGTATCTACTTTAGTTTCTAATGGCCTGTAAAATATTCGCAATTTTTGAGACAAAATACCAAACGCATTTTCCACGACCCTTCTAGCTCGACAAAGTCTTACATTGTATTTCTCTTTTCTGACGTCTGTTAAAGTCTGCTTATAAGGAAATGGTCTCATAAGGTATGGTTTTAAAAAAATGCTTCATCACCAATTAAGACGTATGAGCAGATTTCATTTTGCCCAGGGAGAAATCTAGGTGCAGGGACACTCATTAAATTTTGTTCAAATCGTTTTTCCATGTTTGAGGTTTCGAAAATACCCCCATTACTATTTTTTCCGAAACCACCAATATCAACACATATAAATTTATAGTCCGGGCCAACAATGGCCATAAGTACCTACTATTGAATATTTATGTAAATAGCACCAGTAATTGGAGCCACTGTTGTTAGGTCTCTTGATTGTTACATGTTTAACGTCCACGCTGCCAATGCAATTGGGGAATCCCCATCTATTTTCAAATTCTTCAGCACATTTTTTCCATATATTCTCTGTTGGTTCTGGTAAATATATATGCTCCATATGTCTGCATATCGCTTCACAGACTTCGGTTACGATTGCACTCACTGTTGTAAAGCCAACTCGAAAGCTATGCCCAATGGTATAGAAGGTGTCACCAGTGGCAAGGAATCTATAAAAAAAATCGTTTTTAGGTGATGAAGTAAAAAAACGGTGGAAGAATATCAGAGACATTTGCAAAATATATAAAATCTACCAAACCAAAGACCGGCCAAGCAGTGGGCAACATAAAGAAATGGCAGTGGGCTGACTACATGGAATTTTTCCGTCCTTTTTTGGCATTTGCCAAAACATCGTCTAATGTGAAAGATATTGACGTCATACATTATGAGACTGCCGAATTTAACTCAAATATATATCAGGAAAGGGCTGGAAATGTAGAAACCGAAAATTTGGAAGACCGCGGCCATGAAGAAGATGAAAATGCTGATGTAGATGCAGAAGATGCACAGAACGCCTCGGCGACACAGACAGCACCACCTTCTTCATTGAACACTACAGCAGTGACTACTCCAGGGCACACCTTTCCGCAAACTACAACTACACCAAAATATAAAACGAGCAGAAAACGCTATGAACCACCATCTTCGTCTGTACAACAGCTCATTGATTATTTTGAAAGTAAAAAACCTAAAAAAGAGAACAAGGCCATTGATTCACTTTTCTTGGCACATGCACAGACTGTGAAAACACTTCCCTTAAAGCGTCAAGCCCGAATAAAACTAAAAATAGCCGAATTAACAGTGCAGGAAGAATTTGAACATATTGAAGAAATGTCTTCAGCGTCTACCCAGAATTCTGCAAGTATGTATGATAGTAGTATGTCGTCCTTCCCAAGCGACACTGGGTTTACTCCAATAATATACCCAACAGAGGAGGCAAATTCTGCCTCGAATTATTTAGCAACATTTAATCCTAGTGGCAACATGTAGTCCAATTATTACAATAAAATATTTATTTCACGATCCCTGAAGTTTTCGTATTCGATAAGCCTACTAATTTTAATACATATAATTTTTTTACCTGAGTGTAATAGCAAGTCGTTCTTCTGGCGAAATAGCTTCACGATAATTTGTGTCAGATTTTCGTATTTCATCTTTCACCAAGTTCAATATTTCATCGAAACACTCTGGAGTCATTCTAAAATATACGTAAAAGCGCTGTTCATCCAGCCCAAGGTATGGTATTCCCCAAATTTATTTCGTTCCAAGTTAATATCATGTACCCACTTCCTTCGTTTCCTAAACAAAATTGAAAATATTTGTTTTATGTACTTCGTTAAACTTAATACATACCCAACTATCAAATGGCGTTAAATAAACATAACTTACCGTGCATTTTCTTCCTCTTCTAAAGCAAGAAATAGAAGTGCCTCCTCTTCTTCTGAAGACGCGCTCATTGCAAAAGGCAAAAATAAAATGTACGCAACCTGTCGAAACCTTCACGTTCGCGGAGCGAATAAGACGCTTTGGTATGAATAAATAGGCGAAACAGATTGCGAATTTCGCTCTGAATTTCGTTGCGAATACTTCGCCGCGATTATTTCGCGCCGGTTTGTGGGATGCTTAAAGCCACGCGCCAGTGGCGCGAAAAATTTCGAAAATGAAATGTCATGTCTTTTAGGTCTTATTTGGCATCTACTACGAAGAACTATTATCACTCATTTCCGTCTGCCTGATAATCCTTTGCCCGTCTATAACTTACACGTATCTTGAAATGTGACATTATGCCGATTTTTTTGCCATTATGCTGGTTGTTTTTGACATTATGTAGGTTATTCTACAAGATGTTAACTTAGTACTTAGTTGTACGTGTTGCCTCCACGTCATGAGGCTTGTTATCAATCTTTGGCTCTGATGTGATGTAAAATCTGCTTCTGAGATGGCATTACTGGAGGTCTAAGCTTTATGTGTTGATGATAATTACATTGGGTTCTTGTCTAATACACTTAATTAAGATTCAAAGCTAGACATTAGTTGCTCATCCACTTTTTCTTATCTATTCTGGAAATTATATATACAAATTTGCTGAATTTCAAAAATGAGAGAAATAAGACATAATTATATTCACTGTACACTGTCGAATTACAAGCCATATACATGCTAACAGTAATTACACACAACGCGGGCGCGGTTGTGATTTCCTGTAATTCTCCTCAGTTTTTCGTAGTTTATAACTTTGAACATAACCTCTCTTCAGAAAGCACAACATATAAATAACCCGTCATATTGGGCATATTCACTAATGATCGTCTCACACAGCAAATATTACTGATTTTATACACATTCAGACCAATACACATAATCATCCAGATGCGATCTTGCTATTCAACCGACTTTCTTCTCAGAGATAAAAACTACAGACCCGGATCACTCAGCCTCACAAAACTATGCAACCAACAATGCGTAGTTTAGTTGAGTGACTCCTCCATAGATGGACGTAGTGAGCATACTTGTGCGGATTTTTATGCCAAAGCAAAAACGAACAAAATAAAAATCGCTGAAGCTCCGTTTTTTCAGGTTTCAGGGGTTCCTAATCATTGTCACAAAAAATGATCCTCGTGATCGTAGGAGACGCGTTAAACTAGATTTTCCAATCATTACTTTTTGTCTATGTAAACGTTTCTTCCAGGCGAAATACTTGAATGGGTCACAGGTAAAGCCGAGTCAGTGCTATCTTAAATTATGAATCAATTTTGGGGTTGTCAGATTCAGATGTAAGTACAAGAAGAAGAAATCAAAAAGTGCGGACCGCACACGAATTCCCGGTTAGGGGGCTACAGGTATATTTGTTCTACGATGACGTTTCATAAATTTGTAGCATGGTTATGATTTACAGAGCTCGTAGCTGCCTGGAGGATACGACGTTTTGTGCTCTTCAAACGGAAATATCAGGTCAAGTTTATTCTAAAACTTGCAGTTATGTTTGAGCACTGCCAGTTAGTATCGACTCACTGAAACCAAGCGTACAGCTTCCGGTGTACGACGTTCATCTCCTCCTAACAATGTCTGAAAATGACCAGTAATTTCCTAAACGCTGTAACACCATGTTCCAGCGATTTTATTTCCACCAAATCCGATTCAAAAACTACGACTACCTAAACGATGGAAGTATTTAAGTCGCTGTAATATTTGCACTTATACTTTATCTGAAGTCACTTGAAATAGCATAAAAACCTTTGGTCGGCGCGTCCTTTGTAATTTCATGACGTATCATAGGCGTGCGGTCATTTATTTAGAACGATAATAATAATGTTTTTATATCACAATAAATGGATTTTACTATCTTCTTATTTTTTTGATTTGGGATAAAAAATACTTATATTGGGAGTTTAATTTATGTTGACTGAAAGTTAAGAAATGGAAAAATTACAGAATTCCAACGTTTGACATAGGCAAATATTTACATAGCAGGTAGGTATATAAAAAGGTATATAAAGACTTACATTATAGGTATTTATATATCATCCTCGCCTTCGGAGCTGTCGCTAGAGTCATCTTGTAGAGGAATTACAACGGGATTTACAGGAGGCAAAACACAATACTCATTTTCTTTTTCAATAATATGCCTAGAACACTGCTTCCATAGGTCTGTGGCAGCAACATGAGATACTGCATCTCTTATTGTGGCCAATAGCGATTCACTTAATTGAGGGGTCTGATTATGTTTTCTTACTTTTTTTTTTAAAGCAGCCCAGACCAACTCAATCGGGTTAAAAATGCAGTAATAGGGAGGTAGACGTAATACTTCATGGCCATTTTGCTGAAGCAGATTGTCAACAACATACTCTTTTTCAAATTTTTGTCTTTTAATAAGATCCAATAATATGACTTTGGTTGATGTTTGTGGTATTTCCATTCCCTTATCCTTCATAAAATCAATAATGTCTTGTTTTTTTGTGCCTGTATTCGGAATTTTGTTTTTCTGTCGGGAATGGTATGGCGCATTGTCCATAATAATCACTGAATTTGGGGAAATGTTTGGTATTAACTGCTGCTCTATCCACTTTTCAAATAAGTCGGAGGTCATGTCCTCATGATAGTCGGCACATGATTCTTTGATATTTTTGGCAGATAACAGCAAGGCATTAGGTATAAATCCATTTTCACTGCCAGCATGGAGAATAATGATTCGTTTTCCACGGTTGCATGGTGCATTTAAAATGCACTTGTTGCTGTCGTCAACCCAGCCGTACTGCACAACATCATGGGTATCATACCACGTTTCATCCAGGCAAATCAGATTTCTTTTCTGCTCTCTATAGATTTTAACTTTGTGCAAAAATTCTTGGCGCAATTCAACGATTCGAGACGACTCCATAATCACCATTCTTTTATCTAATTTTTTGTATTGAAAACCACACAGTTTTACAATACAGTGCAGTGAGTCTAAGCATTTGTAATTATAAAAATCTTCAGGATAATCTTTTAATTTATCCCGTATCATTTCCAACGTGGGCACCAAATTTTCTTTATAAAATCCGTATATTATACGACGAATATCTTCCTGAAAACCCACGTCTATTCTTTTTAATTTTTGCCCCATGCGCTTTCTGTGGGAGGAATGGTTGACTACATCTCCCCTTTTTATAACCCGAT